TCACGCCCATCCAACTGGCAAAGGTCGAAGTGGCAGCAGGCCTGGAGGGAGGTGGCGCGTCGGGCACAACCCCACGCTGCTGGTGGCGGGGCGGGTTGTCACGGCAACCTGGCGGCCAAGCACATCTTCGTAACCCAGAAGCTCCAGCCGAATGTCATTCCGTGCATGCACCTGATACACACATGCACACGTGCTCAAGGACATCTGCGAGGGTGTTCATTGCAGCATCAACTGTAACAGCAAAGACATTGGAAACAGTCTCCACATCCAGTGGAAGAATGGATAAATAGAATGTAGTATTTTTGTATGTTGATTATTATGTAGCATTAAAAAAAAAAAACCTAAAGTTAGATGTTTCAACATCAAATATCTCTAAGATATAACTATGGGTGGAAATCCAAGAGGAAAGTAGTTCAGGGCGTTAATAAAGTCATGAGCTCCGCGTCCTGCCAGGTGTGGCCTCTGGCCTTGATCATCACCGTGGAGGATGGCGGCCCCTCGGGAGCGAAAGGCCAGTGGCCGTGCGGTGCAGTACCCGTGGGCCCCCGGAGTCCCCATGCCACCTCTGGTCTTCAGGAGCAGTGCCTCTCCTCTGCCCGAGGGCACCAGGGCCAGCCCCGGCCCGGCCGGCGCCCTGGTCCCCGGAGAGCCCTTCTTCCTTGCATTTACCATTTTATTCCTTTTAGTGTACCGTCTTAGCATCACAGTTTTGTTTTGTTTTAGCTCCTTCTGATAATGCCTTGTCTTGGCATCATGCCACATGGCATGTAAGGAAGGACCTCTCCTTTTTCTTGATGTTTTTTGCGGGGCCTGTCTGTGGTGTTGCGTACAATTTGTTTATTATCTGTGCTTATCGTGTTCCGTTGTAGGACCATTTCACTTCATACTCACCTGTCTTCATGGCCTTGAGGATTCAGGCTGTTTTCCGTTGTTAGTGGTTCCGGAAGCGCTGCCCTGGGTTTTTGTGTGTGTCTCCAGAGGGCCCTCACGTCCTGTGAGCAAGCTGTGTGCACACATGCATGTGCAAGTGTGTGTGTGTGTGTGTGTGTTTACAGGGGTATTTCCCTGGGTATAAATGGGCTGTGAGCGTGCGAGGTGTAGGTCCAGGGGCTGCGCCGTGTCTCCCTGTGCTTGCGTCCTCAGTGCTCTTGGGTCATGGGTACCTCAACGTGTCAGCATGTCTCTGTGTCCCGGGGAGACAGCCCTCGTGGCAGGGACTCCCGTGCGCTGTCGGGGGGCGGCCGCGGGCGCTGCGCCGAGTCAGGCTGCGCTGGGCCCCTGCTGCTCTCAAAGCGGAGACGCCGCAGCCGGCCCTCACGGATGTGCAGACGCGGCTCTGCGCCGCTGGGCTTCTCCCGGGCGACCCCCCCGTGCCCCGCACGGGCACGTATCCGCGGGCAAGCCCTCGTCCCTCCCCGGGCCGGCCTCGGAGCCCATGTGCCCGGGTTGGGGGCAGTGTGGGGGCTCCTCGGCCCCCTGTTGGGGGCTTTCTGGCTCCCATTCACTCTGCTCTGTCGGTTCTAAGTCAGACAAGCCAATGGCTGTGCTTTGTCTCAGACTTGAAAGTCAGTTCCCAACAACCTCTTCTGAAGCTTTTTTCTTGTTCGTTGCTCCACTTACGTATTTTTAATAACGAGTTGAAAACACTTTAACATAGAAACAACATAGTATGGTGCCATCTCGGAGCAACCAAGAGTCACCATGTTCTGCGCGGCACATGACACACGCTGTCTACCTTCCTGGCAGCAGGACTCCCTGCTCTCTCCTGCCTGAGGGTCAGGGCAGCCGCTGGCCTCACGGCAGACCCAGCCCCCGGTCCCTTGGGGGGACGGAGCCCGTCTGCTCCTGTGACTTGGGATGGGAGGCCCCTCCGGCCGTCCTCTGCAGGCTACGGGGCTCAGGCCTGGCCATCCGCACGGCACTCCTGGAAATGCGCGGCCAGGCTACTTTCACGAGGATGCTGGTGGCACAGGTGAAAGTGGCTGTTCCCACCTGGGCTCATCCGTGAGGACACTTATGTTTTCTGCTTGCATAGTACCTGGAGGAGAAAAATGTGTTCCCATGTGCCCCTCACTGCTAAGTCGACTCGATTTGAGTGTTAGGAATTTTCTGTCTCATGAAAACGCCAGCCGGAGGCAGGGGGCCGTTAGGTTAATGGTATGTACTTTGGCTGCCAACCCAATTGCGGAAATGATCAATCATTGGGCATTTGATCTGTTTGCAAATAAAGAGTGATGGAGGTGTTTCTAACAGGGGCTGTGTTCCTGCTTGGCCCCACGCCTCTCCAGGAAGGTGGGAACGCCGGCAGCCGGTGTTTTGCCACTGCGCGTCACTTTCTGTCCTGGCGCAGGAGCGCTCTGCACCGGGGCCTTCGAGCAGAATGTTTGCAGAGCGGCTGCCGTTATCAGGGTTCTTCTCCAGACGCAAACCGGGGGTCAGGGTGCGGCCACGCTGCACGGGGTGGGCTGCGGCGGAGGCCCAGCACTGGTGGGTCACTCTGCCGACTCCTGTCTTCCCCACGGGCCTGGTGAGCTGCTGAGCCGCCCGAGGAGCAGCGTCACCCGCCGTGGGCACTGACTCCTGCGGACGCCCAGGAGGGCGGGGACCTCAGGCCGGTCACAGCCGTTTCAGAGACAGTCCCTGACCACGTTCCGTGTTGGCGCGGAGCTGGCGCCTCTGGTGTGGCCGCTCTGCTTTGCCTCTGGTCCGCGCCCAGGCCCCTCAGAGGGCTTAGCTCTGTGGGGGCCTGCCGGCCTCCTGCTGCTGACGAGGAGCCCGCCGCAGGAGGGTGGAGAGCGCCGGCCGGAAGCGCCGCAGTGACTGGACTGCGTGCGCTGATGGAGAATTGATAAGCACTCTTGACAGTCAGGTTTATAAATATGTAAAAAGTGCTTTAATTGTTTTTAGCAAAACAGGCAAGGAGTCGATATTCTCCGACGCGTCAAGCACACTGTTGACAGGCGCTGTGGCCGGAGCACCCGGAGAGCGGCCGGGCGCCCTCTGCGCAGATGTCGCCGCGGCCGTGATGAATGAGGGCCTGAGCCGCGTCGATCGAGCAGGCTAAACACTGGAAAAGTTGGCTGAACTCTGACTTTAAATATTCATTAGGGCTAATTATGGATTTTCTGACTCTATGAATTACAGTTTCTATGCCTGCACTGGCAATGTATTTTCCATTTATTTGTTGTAAACTTCATAATTTTATATTAGCTTTATCACGTTCAATGAGGTAACAGTTTCAATGTTCGCTATGACATTTATTTACTTAGGCTGCTGCCGAGTGCCTTCTGCCCAAAACAAGCCAAGATTCCCTGCGACAGGCGGGTGGGGGCGGGGGCGGCTCTGAGGGCCGCAGGGGCAGCCCCGTCACCGCCTCCCCCGGCCCCCAGGCTGCTCGTGCCCCGCTGTCCGCCTTCCGCGGCGGGGCCTCAGCTGCACGGTGTCAGAGAGGAGCCGTGCCCAGGTGTGTCGCCAGTGCGCCGGCCCTCCTTCCGCCTGCCACGCCTGGGGCAAGTGAGCAGCAGCCTGCGTGCCCAGCTTGTTCAGGATCCGGCGGTGTCGTGAGATAGGTCCAGGGACAGGCCGGGCAGCGCGCTCCACTGCTGAGAGCGCTGTGCTGCAGATGTGGAAGTTCTCACTACAAGAAAACAAAGTTGTAACCATGTGGGGGATTGGCTGTTTCGCAATATATGCAAACACCAAATTATTACATTGTTCATCATGAACTTATACGGTGTTGCAGGTCAGCTGTATCTCAGTAATGCTGGGAGGAAAGAAATGCTGTAACAATATTTCTGTGTTGAAAAAACAGGCCTGGAAGACAGCCCCCGCCTTGGAGCGTGGCCTTGGGCCAGGCCTCACAAGGGCCGAGGGCGGCCAGGCTCCGGGCCCGGGGTCAGGCGCTCCCGCATACCCTGGGGGCAGGCTCGCTGGGCCCCCCTGCGAGAGGCGGAGGTGCTCGTGGGCGGCGGAGCCCACTCAGCAGCAGGCGACAGTGCATCTTGCAGGGGCTCCTCCCGTCCCCGCAGACAGCCCTGCCGCGTGTCAGCTGGCCTGAGCGGCTGGCCTTCCGGTGGCTGTCCGAAGAAGGACGGGGAGGCCAGCCGGGCGAGCTGTGGCTTTGGCCCTCCCCCGCATCCGTCAGACACTCAAATATGTGCGTGTGTGGGGGCGTGTGTGCAGGTGTGAAGTGTGTGGGGCCTGGTGAGGATGGAAGGCACGTCGCCGCGCACCTGTTCTGCTCCAGCTCCCCTGCCGAGTGCAGCAAGGACAGTGGAGCCAAAGCCGGGCCCCAGCCAGGCCTGTGTGCAGCGGCATCGCACACACATGCACACAAACCTTAACAGGTGCCCACGTATGCACACAGACATCCAGGCACACACCCACATCCATACACATACATGAATACATGTGTGTGCACAGACACACATGCACACACGCCGATGCATATCTACACATGGGTGCACACACATACACACATGTACATGCACACACGTGCACACTCACAGACACAGCCACGCGCATCAGAGACCGCCTCATCCAGCCTGAGTCTCAGCTAAGCAGCGCGCGGCTCTCAGCGAGGAACCCTGTATGCCCCTTCCCCTGTGGGCTGTCCCTGCCCCGGCCTGGCCCCTGTGGCTTTGCCTGTTCCTGAACGGGGAGAGCAAGGCCCAGGCCCTGGGCGTCACCCGGCCCTGTGTTCCCGACAAGGCGGTGAAGGGGAGGGCAGCGCGTGGGGCCTCGGGCCGGGTGGGGACAGCGTGTTTCCGGGACAGCGCCCCCGTGGGAGGCCACGCCGCTGACAGCCGGCTCCGGCTGGACCTCCTGGCCTTCAAAGGCGGCGCCCTCTGTGGAGGCCATTTCTGGCCTCCACGCCCGTGACTGGGAAGCAACGGGAGCGCCTCGCCCTTGCCTTCCAAGCATGTTTTTTTTGTGGCCCGGGGCTGCGGGAGGAACACCCACGTGCCACATCTCACCTGGCCTCTCTTTTTGCTCTGCAGGCTCTAGGAAGCTTTTATTTCCTTCACGAATCCTTGAAAAACATCTACCAGTTTGACTTCAAAGGTAAGAGCCCGTGCCATCAGTCACCGAGAGGCTCCGGGGCTTCCTGCCTCCTGGAGTCCCACCCCCTGCCCGCGGATCTGGCTTCTTCGGGTCCCTTCTGCCCCGTGTCCCTGCCAGGGGCTGGCGTGGTCTTGGTTTGAGTCACTTCGTGGCAGTTAGTAGCCGGGGACCTCGCACGAAAACCTGGCTTTGTGGGTCCACAGAAGTCGAGGCAGCGGCCTGCCTCCCCCCGGCCCAGCCACTTCGCGCCCCGCCGCCCTGCTGGCCTCTGCAGCCAGGGCGAGGCCTGGCAGGCGGCTGGGCCTGTCCAGGGCAGAGGTGCGAGGACAGGGGAAGAGCTCAGTGTCTGTGTCCCCACCGAGTATGGAAAGTGAAAGCAGAACGAGAGGGCAGTGCATTCCAAAACCGGGAGCGAGAGCCCGTGTTTGTGGCCAGGGGCAGGCGCCACCCATGTTTGCTGGGCGTGCACTGCGAGCCTGCACTGGGGAGAGGACACCATGGTCCTTGTCACTGTGTCTGGGGGCACGTGAGGCTGTTTACCCCGGACCTGTTGCGCGTCGGTGTCACCCCGTCCCATCAGGCACGTTGGCGCTTTTATCTTCCCGCTCAGTGTTCTGTCTTCAGGTTGTATGTAAATTCTTCAGAGCTCCATTTAGGCTGTTGAGCCAGATCACATTAATTCGAAATGTCATTAAAGTTGTAATAACTGTGGGGAGCCACTAATTATGTCAGTGTGCTCAGATTCATTATCTTTGCTCACTTGGGAGATAGATCGCCTCTTACGAAAGGGAGAAGCCGGCGGTTTCATCCGGGCCGAGAGCAGGGTTCCAGCCGGCAGGCGGTTGTCACCAGCCCTGTCCCCTGAGGGACCTTCACATGCTTTTAAACACAAGCATCTGGCCTTCCCACCAATGAACCTGGTGAGAGACGGGCCACGGCTGCTCTTGCCATGATCTTAACAGGCACGGGGAGGAGCGCATCGCATCCCCATGCAGAGGAGCCACAAGGACGTCCCGCGGGGGCTGTGGATGTCCCGAGGCCTGACCGTGGTCCAGCCTGTCAGACTTGTCCTTTCTGTACGTGACTGTCTGCCTACGATTTCCCTGCTAGCTCAGGTCGGTCAGAAGGCGTCTGCCGGCCCACAGAGTGCGTGACGCTGTGTGTCGGAGGGGCGTGCGCCTCCAGCACAGCTCGCCTGAGCCCCCACCAGTCGCTGACGAGGGCTGTGACAGCAGTGGGCGGTGCACACGCTCGGGGTGCTTGGGCGTGTCCCCCGAAAACACTTGGGGCCCAGCACGGCGCGTGCTGCTGCTGTCCCGCTGCGGGCGCGGGGAGTGGGGCGCGGGGCGCAGCCAGCATCCAGGGCAGGGAGCGCGCCTGCGCCTGCTCTGCCCAGCCCGTGTGTTCCAGGGCTTCCTCTTCTGCCTTGAATGAGTTACAGCAGAAGCAACACAGAATTTGTGAAAAGTTTGAATGCCCTTGCATAAAAAAAGTAGCCCAAACTTTAACAGATAAATACCTAGGTAGAAATTTCAGGATCCCCGAAAGGTACAGATGAAGAGATAAAAGCAACTTCCAGTTCTGGGTTCAACATGTGAAGAGCTTGGAAGACATCACTTCGGCCCTCAAGCAAGAAAAAGCTGGACTGCTCTTCCGAGAGCCCCAGCAACGCGAGGTCACAGGGCACACCGGCCACCGAGCCACCGAGCCGGGCACAGGCCCGTGCACAGCGCTCACCAGGCAGAGACGGGTGCTGCGGCTGCAGGGGCACGTGCTGGGGCCGTGTGCGGGGGCTGTCTGGGGGCCCAGCCAGGGGCGCCCCGCTCCTGTGGGTTTCACCAGGAGTCTGGCTACATTCTCAGGGTGGTGATCAGGGAAGAACCCCCTGAACGTCTGGCAGGGGAGGGAGAGCCGCTGCTTTGAAGTGCGGGGCGGGCACTGGGGAGCACGTGGCGGGACGCATGCCGACTTTGAGCCTGAACCACCCCATGGGACACAGAGCAGCTCCCTCCACCCAGACCTCAGCTCCCCAGCTTCTGGCCGGGGCACTGGGTGGCAGGGCCCGCAGGCTCAGAGCCTCCGTAGGTGAGAGTCCCCAGGAGCCCCGTGACAGCCGGGGGTCAGGGGCAAGGCCCCGGGGGGCGCCTTAGCCTGGGAGCGTGCAGGCAGCGCGGCCCGGCTCCCCGCCAGGTGGCCATGAGGCCTGACGTGAAAGACCTCTCTGCCTCAGTTTCTCCCACCCAATTATTTACGTGCTGCTTTCAACAAAGACCGTAAGGCATGCGAAAGGTAAAAGTGCACCCTGAAGGGAAAAAGCGTGCATAGGCCCGGGTGTCACATCGATCTGGAACTATCAGAATGGATGGGAATTAAAAGTGGCCGATGCATTTGCTGAGAGGTCCCATGGGAAAGTGGGCATGCGAGAGCAGATGGGTGACACAGGGGGAGAGGTGGGGACGCTAAGAAAGGGTGTCGCGGGGACAGAAATGAAGAGAGCCTTCGGTGGGCTCGCCAGTCTGGGCGTCGCCGAGAGGGAACCGGCGACCTGGAAGATGTGCCAGTAAAAATGTTCCAAACTGCAAAGGCAAAGAGGGCAAGGAAGGAACAAATGTCTCAGCACCGTGGGACAACTGCAGGGGGCAGTGTGTGCGCAAGGGAGACACCGGCAGGAAAAGTAAAACACAGACAGGAGCAGGAGAAATGCGTGAATGGCCAGGAATTCTCCACAGGCAACCGCGGACACGGAGCCCCAGACCCTGGAGCCCCGATGGGGGGAAGGGGCAAAGGCGAGGCTTCCCCTCGGCCTTCCTGCAGAGGCCACGCAAGCAAGGGGAGCAGTGCGGGGTGTTTGCGTCGCCGGGGGAGGGCCGCCTGGAATCCTCACTAAAGCAGGCAAGGTGTCCTTCGAAGGCCAGGAGAAACGAAGGCTTTCTCAGACAGACCGAAGCCGAGGACCTTGGTTCCAGGGGCCCTGCCCGGCAAGACATGGAAACCAGCTGCCAGGATGGGGGTGGGGGCGGGGGTGATGCAGGTGAGCGACCGCACAGGGCGGGTGTCAGAGAAGGGCTCAGTGAGGGCAGGACAAAATATTTCATTCTTTATTCTCTGCTGATCCAACAGATAACTTGTTTCAAAGGATCCACAGCAAGAATTTATTGGGTGATGGTAGCTTATGGGTAAGTGAAATGAACGGCATAGATGTTATAAAGTTTGGAGGAATTGCGGTGACTTGTTATAAAGAACACACACTATTTGTGAAGATATATAGTGTTATTTGAAAAGGGGCTTGGATTGGTTGTAAACGTATATTGTAAACTCTTTGGCCACCACTAAAATGTTTTTAATGAAGAATAACTGATAGTCTAAAAGAAGAGAGAAAGTGGAATCATGTAAAATGCTCAGTGTAACCAGAGAAGTCAGGAAAAGAGTGGAAGGCAAGAAACAAAGGACAAAGGCAATAAATAGGAAAGTTCTAAGTATGGAAGGGTGTGACTCCAACTACCACAATAATTGATTTAAATGTGAGTGGTCTAAATGCACCAATTAAAAGACAGACTGTCAGAGTGGTTAAAAAAAGACCCATGATCCAGCCATGCACTGTCTGTTGTAAACTGTCTTAAGATGTGTACAGGCCCAGAAAGATAAAAAGGGAAGGGATGGAGGAGGGGACACCCTGCTGACACTAATGAAAAGAAAGCAGGCGTGGTTGTGTGGACCTCAGACAGGCAGACTTCAGAGCGAGGGGCGTTTTCAGGGCTGGAGAGCGGCTGACAGGTCCCCAGAAGACATGGGACGCCTAGCAGCAGAGCATCCCAATGCAGGACACGAAGACCGACAGACCTGCAGCCAGAGACAGACGGACCCACTCTGGCAGCCAGAGGCTCAGACTCCCTGCCTCAGATGGGGCAGGCCCAGCAGGGCCGCCCGCCGCCCGCCGCCTCACCCCGTTGGCACCTGTGGGGACAGCCCAGTCGGCAACAGCAGAACGCGTCCTGCCCTAGTCACATGGAATAGTCACCAAGGCAGACCACGGTCTGGCCTGTGAAACACACCTCGCCAGATTTGAAAGGATAGAAATCATACAGAGTGTATTTTCTGACCACAGTGGAATTAAGATAGAAATCAGTAATAGAAAAATAACCAGAAAACCCTCAGATACTTGGGATAGTAACTCACTTCTAAATCACACGTGGGTCAGAGAAGTTTCAGGAGAAATTTGAAAAATATTTTGAGCTAAATGAAAAATGAAAACACAACTTATCAAAAATGTTAGGATGTAGTGAGAGCACTGCGTTGGAGCAGCAAACGCATGTATTAGAAAAAAGTAAGATACACAGTCGATAATCTAAGGCTCGGCCTTAGGAATTGAGAGGAGAGCAAGGTAAATCCAAAGTGGGCATAAGAAAAGAAATGATAAAAATTGGAGCATAAATCAATGAAGTTGAAAACAGGAGCTCAATAGAGAAAATTAACAAAACCAGAAGTTGGCTCTTTGAAAAGATCAATGAAATTGATAAACCTCCAACCAGGCTGACCCAGGGAAAGGAGACAAATCACTGGCCTTAGAAATGAGCGAGGAGCCATCACTACCGAGCCTGTGGACACTGCAGGGCAGCAAAGGCACCTTACGAACATGCGTGTGCTTCTAAATCTGGTAACTTAGACCGATTCCTTTAAAGATACAATCTACCAAAACTCATACAGATGACCAGATAATCTGAATAGGCCTTTATGTATTAAAGAAATGGAATCAATAATTAATAGCCCTCTAAAAAATAAAGCACTAGGCCCAGATGATTTCACTGGTGAATTCAAATAGACATTTAAGAAAAAAACTATACGTGCTCTCTATAATCTCTTCCAGACGATAAAAGCAGAGGTGATGCTTCCAAGCTGATTTTATGAGGCCACATTACTCTAATGCCAAAACCAGGCAAAGACATTACAAAAAAAGAAAAACTAAGACGAGTATCTGTCATGAACATAAAATGTAGGTATTCTAAAGATAAAGTAGCTAGAACTCAGCTGTGTAGGAGAGGAGTTACACTGTATGACCAGTTGAGATTTGTTCCAGGCGGGCAGGGCTGGTTCAACATTCAAAAACAGATTAACATCATTTATCACAGCAACAAGCTAACAAGTAAAAGTCACAGAACCCTATTAATAGGTGCAGAAAATCATTTGACAAAATTCAACACCCATGTATAATGAACACTCTCAGCCAACGAAGAATAGAGTTTATAAAGAAAACTACAGAAACCTACCCTAATGTAGAACTTAATAGTGAGGGACTAGATGCTTTTTCCCCTAAGATTAGTAACAAGACAGGGGTGACCCCTCTCAGCATATGTCTTTAGCATCGTACTGGAATCTTGGCTAATGCAGTAAGACAAGAAAATGACATAAAAGGCTTGTCAGTTGTGGGAGGGAGCAAGAAAATTGTCTTAGTCTGAGAGGACATGATTTTCTCTGTAGAAAATCCCAAGGAATCAGCAACAACAGAACTGGTACTAACAAGCAAGTTTGCAGGATGTGAGTTTAAACATAGCAGTCAACTGTGGTCCCACATACCAGCAGTGAATGAGTGGGATTTGAGGTTGACAACACAATACCATCTACATTAAACACACAAAAAGAAGCACTTAGGAATAAATCTAACAAAATGTGTACAAGAGCTATCTGAGGAAAACTCCACTCTGAGGAGTGAAAGCAAAGATCTAAATAAATGAAGGGACATGTCCCATGTTCATGGACAGGGAGACTGAACATGGTCAGGAGGTCAGTTCTTCCTGACTTGATCAGTCAGTTCAGTGCAGTCCCAGCAAATGATTTCGTGGGTATCAACAACCTGTCCTAAATCTGACATGGAGGCAAAGAATAGCCCACACCGTGTTAAAGGAGAAGACACTGCCCAACTTCCAGGCTGACGGCGAGGCCACAGGCATCAAGCCAGCGTGGTGCTGGCAAAGGGAGAGACAGACAGGCCGGTGACAAAGGAGCAGAGACAGCACAGTGGAGCAAAGACAGTCTCCGTAACAAATGGTTCTGGGACACTGGACAGCCACGTGCAGAAAAATGGATCTAGACTCAGACCTTACACCTTGCACAAATCAACTCAAAATGAATCATAGACCTAAATGTAAAACAAAACTATAAAACTCCTACAAGGTAACAGGAGAAAATGCAGGTGACCTGGGGTTTGCAGAGGAGTTTTAGACACAAGAGTAAAAGCACAGCACATGAGAGAAAGCATTGGCCAGTGGGCTCCACTGAAATGGGAAACTTCCGCTCCGCAGCAGACACTGGAGGAAACGCGAAGACGAGCCACGGGCCGGGAGAGGACGTCTGCAGAAGATGCAGCTGATGGGGGGCTGTTTCTCAAAATAAGCAAAGCGCTCTTAAAACTCAGTAAGAAAACAACCTAATTAATAATGAGCCAAAAATGTTAACAGACATCTCACCCAAGAAGATACTCAGATGACACGCGGACATGTGAAAAACACCGAATAGCGTGTGTCGTCGGGGAGATGCAGGCGGCAGCCGTGTGATGCCGGACACGCCTCTCGGGATGGCCCACACCTGCAGCGCCGAGAACGGCGACTGTGGGCGCACCCGTGGAGCAGCAGGAGCCCCTTCGCTGCCCAACGCAGGCCGGTGCCTGCGGGCCACGCTGGGGGACAGTGCGGCGACCGCTCACCAAGCCAAACATGTTCTTACCGCTGGAGCCCGCAGTCACGCCCCTTAGCATTCTCCAAACGAACTGGCAACTTACGGCCACACAAAAACCTGCACAGAAACATTTGTAGCATTTTATTCTTTATGACCAAAAATGGAAGCAGCCAGAATACCTCCCCCTCAGCGCGTGAGGGTGTGATCAGCGGCCCCTCCATTGCAGTGTCGCTCAGCAACGAAGTAAGGCAGGCTGTCGAGCCCCAAAAAGACGTGGATGAAGCACAAATGCATGCACTTGACCCTTGAACAGCGTGGGTTTGAACTGCACGGCTCCTCCTATGTGGACTTTCCAGTAAATACCTGGACTACTTTGGACCCACGTGGGAGTCCGTGGGTGCACAGGCCAACTGCGTGCATTGGTCCACCCCATTTTACACGAGGGGCTTGAGCATCCCTGCGTCTTGGTACCCACGGTCTTGGTATCCATCTTGGAGACCACCAGGGGGTCTCCCTGCGGCGGATCCCGACATGGCAGCCGTCCACTGGCCCAGGCCCCCGAGAACGTGAGGGACAGATTCACGCGTTTCTTCACCAGACCCTCCGTGGCTTGGAGAAAAGAAACCACCCCAGACCAGGGTGTGAAAGAGCCAGGCCAAGCCCCGTCTGCTGGGGGTCTGCCCGGGGCCGGGGTGGGATTGGCCCAGCAGGGCACCTTGTCCAGCGAGGTGACAAGGTGCTGGGCAGGCGGCCAGGAGCTCGGTCCGCGGTGCCCCCCTCTCCCCGTCTCACATAAAAACCCCTTGTCCTTGGACATGAGTGATGTTGGCTGGATGCGAGTAGGAAATCGATGTTATTAAATAAATTTGTATTAAGGTATGAGCGAACGGCAATTCCACGGCCCTGTTAAACATATTCACGGCTTTAGCGGAGGACGCCAATTAGCCCCTGTAAATCTGCGGGCCGGGAGCTGCTAGCGGGTAATGAAGTGGAGTGTCGGAGTCCGGGGGGGCCACGATTTACGAGCCGCGAACGTCGCCGGGAGCAGCCGGCCGGCCAGGTCGGCGCCCCCGTCCGGCCCCCAGGGGCTGCCTGGCTCCTCGCAGGCTGCACGGGGGGACACGGGTGGGACACGGCCCCGTGGCCTGTGGCCGGTTGGATGGGCGTCAGGCCATGGCTAGTCACACGGTGCTTCTGCTCTTTTCCAGCCAAGAAGTATAAAAAAGTCACTGGCAAAGAGATCTACTCGGACACTCTGGAGAGCACCCCCATGCTGGAGAAGGAGAAGTTCCCACAGGACTACTTCCCCGAGGTGCGTCCCGGGAGCCCCTGGCCACCGCCTCCGAAGCTTTTCCTCCTCGGGGCGGGCACATCGCAAGGGAGATGCAGGGCCTGCCGTGTTCATGCCCGTGGGAGGGCTCACATCTGCTGCCGCCACGCCCCAGGGCTCTCTTTCCGGGAGGCTCCGAACTGTGCGTGGGCTCACCCGGGCGGTCCCAGCTGGGTGCCGAGAGGATATGCAGGGTTTACAGTTCAATCAACCAGTACATTTCCTAATTACTATTTCCCGGCAAAGGAGCCGTCCCACAGATGCAGGAAAAGAATCAGTTCACTCGGGGCCTGGCGGGTGAGCGGGTCAGTCTGACCAGCGGCCTGCCGGGCGCAGGGACACACAGGGTGTGTTCCTGCCCCCAGAGCGCTGGGCCTGGCCAGTGAGAGGTGTGGCCAAGAGCCTGGAGCTGTCCCCGTGTCCCAGGCAGTGGCTGCTCCACGCAGACTGGGCGCAGTCGGGCGGCGCTGATCCCTTCCTCTGGGCCTGAGGCCCTTTCCGCAGTTCGCACGCAGCCGCTGCAGCTCGTGCGGCCTCAGACCCTGCCTGCGGCTGAGTCCCCGGATCCCGCGCAGTGCGGGCGAACCTGGAGCTGGCCGCCCGGTCGGGCGCGAGTCCGTGGCGGACGCCCTCGGGGCAGAGGTGGAAGGCCTGCGCCCCCGCCGCCGTGACAGCGGCGCTGCTCGGCCCCCAGAAAGATTGCTGCCCGGCCCCTCTGTGCGGGGGCCCCCGCCTGCGCTGGGAGCAGAGCTTCAGCAAGGCCGCAGCTTTATTAACTTTCTTTATGGCCCAAGCCCCGAGGGACGGGTGGCGGCCGCCTCCGTGACAGATGGGCCCTCCTGTCAGGCCTGGCCCTCCGCGCCTGTCGTCCCGAGCCAGGGGCGCGGCGTCAGAGGGCCGGCTCCCGTCCCACGACCCTCGGCCCTCCACGGCCCCCCGCGCCCTGCGGGGCTGGAAGAGGGCGTGCCTGGAAGCTCTGGGGGCCTCAGTCCCCCACCTCCCGTGGTCACGGCCGCTGCTGTGTGCCCCGGGCCCCCCGAACGCGGGCCGCGGCGGCGTTCCATCCGGACCGCGTGGCCGCAGTGCCCTCGGAGGTGCCGAGGGACGGGACGTCGGTCTCAGGGCCCCGCTGGGGCTGAGCTCCCGGCCCTGTCCCAGTTCAGACCCGAGGCCCACGCCCCCGCCACCGGGGCCCTCGCCGAGGGTGACCCCTGCTCCAGCGCATGGGGGGGCTGGGGGGGCTGGGGGCGGGGCTGCCGCAGCACAGGGACCTCAGCCTCTCCCCTGCGGGAGGAGAGCGCGCCTGACCAGCGCCTCCGGGGCGGGGGGGGCACAGCCCTGCACTGGCCAAGGAAGAGGCTCGCGTCGTCCTGTGACGCCCTGGGCGCCACCCAGGGTCCTCGCACTCCTTGGGCGGTGGTCCAGCACCCACTGGCCGAGAACCCCCAGGGCCACTGCCCACGCAAGGCGGGGCTGGGGACCTGGGTCGTCCTAGCTCTTCGATCTTCTCCTGGGGTCCAGCCCCAGCCCAGAGAGGGGCTTATCCCACCCGGGACAGCTGGGGTTCCGCAGAGGAGGTGGCGGGGGCCACGGGCCCCTGGGCGGCGGCGGGGGCAGGGCCGGCAGCGGAGCCGTGAGACTGCGGGGGAGTTGGCTCAGCCCCTCGCGGCCCTTAGAGATGGCGCCCCTCTCTCCCCAGCCCCCCTGCATCCTGGGCGCCCCACCCGGGATGCGCCCCAGCTGCTCCTTCCCTCGCAGCAGGCGCTTCTCCAGGTCCCACCCCTGCCAGGAGGGCCCCCGGCTCCTCCCTCTACCCCAGGAAGCCCTGAAGGGGACCCCCGCTCAAAGGCCGGCACCACCTGGACCCCGTCGTGGCGTGGCTTTCCCAGTGCACGCGGCCCATCTGGGCTCCGCGCGTCCCCGTCGAGGGCGGTCTGTCCTGGCCAGGCGGCTGGGCACCACGGCAGGGGGCGGTGTCGGGAGGCACGGGCGGTGGCTGCCGCTGGCCACCCGCTCTCCCTGCGCAGCGCCTTCAGGCCAGGCGTTCAGCTTTATTTGAACACATTTTGGAGCAGGGAATTAGTTTAAGATGGATTTCCCTTTCTTTTATTACCATCACTTAAGGATAATCTAAATGTAATTACCGTGATGGAGGCAATTCCAAATAATTACAGCCCTGCATCTAAAACTAACAAAACTCTCTGCTGATTTATGTCGGGAGCCTCAGGCGCGGCTTGCGGACGCCGCCTCTAAGCAGCACTCCAGGTACCGGGAGGCCGTTTTTAAAGAGCAGGACTGTGTAGTCGATCAGGCCAAGGCATCTGTCCTTTGCCCGCGGTGAGAAATTGGTTGTTGCCGTAGATCACAGCCCTGCGCCTGGCTCTTATGAAAGATGAATTAATTTCGCTAATGCTCCAGAGCGGGCCTTTCACGGGGAAGGCTGTGTGGTGATAACCTTCCCGCAGCCTCCCTTTCTCGGGGTGATTTATGCCGTCTTTTAGTAGATGAAACCGCTGGTATTCGCCATCCATCTGCTGCCTAAAGGCATCCTATTAACAGGGGATCTGAGCAGAGACTTAATATTGCGAGGTGAGCGACGCGGCCGCCCCCACTCCCCGCCCAGGCGTGACGCGGCTTTCACTGCGTGGTGACAACCTCTCTGAGAGCCGGGTGGCCACCCCAGCCGCTGCCGCCCCGTCCGCCGCTGCCAGGCCCTCGGCGGGATTTCCAAAGGGGGCCGATGCCCAAGGAGCTTAGCGTGTGGGCGGGAGCGGAGCCCCCGCCCCGCCGACATGCACTCCGCCCGGCAGTGGGCTCTGCGCCTCCCGCACCGGCGGCCTGTGGGCTGTGGGGCGCGGGTGCCCGTCCCTGCGCTTGGGGGCAAGGAGGTGCCTGTCCGCCACTGAAGGGGAGGTGGTTGGGTGGCGGGAAGGAGCCGCAGGAGCCCCGGAAGTCTCTGTTTCTGAGACAGAGGAGGAAAGGGAACCGCCCTGGGGCTGATGTGCTGAAGGGAGGGGTCGCGCTGGTGAGCAGGGGCTTCGGGACCAGCTGTTCTTCCCACAAGTCACGGAGCTGGAGGTTATGGCCTGGAGGTGTCCCCACATTCCACAGTTGGGTCCAGAGTCTGCCGAGGAGGGAGAGGGGACGCAGGGGATGAGGGCAAGAAGGGGGGCAGCCTCACGGGACGGCGTCCTCTGCGCCCAGGGCCTGGCTCCCGCACAGACAAGGCAGCGCCTGGGGTGGGAGGGCGGCCTGGCCGACAGCAGGTGAGCGTCACGGCCCCTCCCCACCGAGCAAGGTGGCTGTTCGGGTCTGTTCTGGACAGGTGTCCCCGCTTCCCGCTGTGACCGAAGAAGGTGCGGGCCTCACCAGGCGAGGGCGCGTCTGTCCCCACTATGTCCAGTCTTAGAGCACCAGCCACCTGAGCCCTGAACCCTGCTCCTCCCAGCCCCTCACTCGGGGACCCTGAGCACAGTTCTTGGCTCCCAGCCCAGCGTCCTGGCCTGCAGAGCAGGCGTGGGCGGCGGCCCGCCTGTGGCTGCCGTGGGGCTGAACACACTCGTGAGCATCGGGCGCGAGACCTGTCAGCCACGGGGCGCGGCCGTGTCCGACGAGGGGGTGGGGGCGGGGCCCCCGGGCCTCGTGGGGGCGGCATCGGCACCTGTCGCTGTCCCTGAAGATAGCAGGCTCCAACCCAGACGCGGCCCCACGGGCGCGTCAGAGGGGCTGTTGAAGGGCTCACCCAGTTCCGCCGAGAGACACGACGATGCGGGGCTGGAGAGGGGGCTGGGACCCCGGAACCAGCGCTGCAGGGGCCGTGTCTCGCCTGGTGCTTCGGGGGGTAACGGAATGGGCGGTGTGGTCGTGGGGGCCCGGCCGCTGCTCACGGGCGAAGGTGGCGGCGGCCGGTCTGGGCCCTTCCGTTGGCGCAGGGGCCGTCGTCGCCCAGCCCCGCTCCCCGCGGGCCCCCCGCAGACGCGGCCACATCCCCGCGTGGGCGCGCCCGACCCCCTGCCTCCGGGCCTCCGCTGACCGGGCACCAGCAGCGGGCCCGGGGCTCCTCTGGGGTGTTGGAGGGAACGGGATTTCGCGTCCAGCTCACACATGTTTGCTACCACGGAGTTTGCGGGCGGGGGCCTTGGCAAGGCCTCCCCCTGTGTCTCCAGGGCTTTGCAAGGGGTCAGTGTTGCTATTTAAATCAATTCTGATTGCGATAGGGCGGCAGCATTGCCAGGGCTTCCACCCAGGGGTCTCTGACCGCCATGGCTGGGGACCTGCGCGGTGGGTGGGGCCGCGGCCCCTCCGAGCTGGAAGAGCACATGGTCTCCTCGGCCCCCACTGATTGCTGCGGCCTGTTTGTTTTTCAGTGCAAGTGGTCCAGAAAGGGCTTCGTGCGGACGAGGTGGTGCGTCGCCGACTGGTACGTGTCTCCTGCGGGCCGCTCGTCTCTCCTGCATGAGGTTTCGGGGCAACCCCCTTCCGTGCCAAGCGCAAGGCATGTGCGCCTCTGCCCTGTCCACGGCTGGGCCACCCGAGGGCCCCGGCCGCCCCACTGGAGGCTCCCTGAGTCCCTGAAGACCCTGCTGCCTCCCCTGGGTGTGACATTCGACTGCAGCCCCTGACAGCAGCCTGGGCTCCTCCTGGCAGCCCCTGGCTCTGTGGCCCTGCTGCGGCCACACTCCACTGCAGGAAGGCGGCCCAGTTACGTGTCCTTCGGGGCTTGGGGCACGGCAGCAGTAGAGCTGCTCACCCAGAGACCCAGGCCAAGCCTTCCTGCAGGCGGCGGCTCCCAGTGGCCCAGCAGGAAGCCTCAGACCCCGGCCCGTGTCCCTGGCTGCCCGTGGAGACCAGCGCCGCCCCCCCACCCCTGCCACTGGGCGCCGTCTGAGGCGCCGACCTGGGGCCACGGTCTGCAGTGAGCACTTGCAGGCAGCGTGTCCTGCGGTGCTGCTGACGGGCAAGCGCCCCACTGTCGTGGGGAGGAGACAGGGCAAGGCACGGCGGGGCCAGCAGCCAGCTCCTAGCCGCGCCCCCGCCTGGACCTGGACTGCCCCTCAGGCTGCTGAGCCGGCCGGCGACCCCCGCCGCTCATCCCTCTCCTCATCCCTCCTCCTCCACCCCACCCCCCACCCCAGACTCTTCCAGGCTCGCTGGCGGCTTGAGAAAGGTTTGTGTGCCCTGGCGTCTGCAACGATGCTTAAAGAGGACCCTTCCCGCCTCACGTGGCCCCTGGGCAGAGGCGTCCTGCCCTGGGCCAGCCCGGAGCACTGAGGAGGACAGGAGGCCAGGGCACAGGTGGCTCTGCCCACCCACGACCCTGGGGGCCCGGCCAGGCCTTGCTCCACCTCCCCAGGAACTCGGATGGGGACAGCGTCAGAGGGGCTGCACCCGGGGCCCTGGGGCTCTGGCCTGTTGTCACCGAGTCTCCTCTCTCTGTGCAGCGCCTTTGACCTGGTGAACATCCATCTTTTCCATGACGCTTCCAACCTCGTTGCGTGGGAGACAAGCCCCTCTGTGTACGCGGGGATCCGGCACAAGGCCCTGGGCTACGTGCTCGACAGGTAGGTGCCCCCAGGGAGGGAAGGGAAGTGGCTCTTTTAAGCCACTTTTCTTCCATGCTTGCTTTTCTGTTTACCAAAAGTGTGAAACTGGTTAATGTTGACCTGCTGACACCGCATACAAATCTCTACCCGTGTCCCAAGGCTCGAGCAGTCCCCCCAGGCGAACGTAGGTGGGGGCGGCCTCACGCCTGGTCCTCAGTTCTGTGGGAGAGATGAGAATCATGCCCGGAGCCGTGGGGGAGGCAGACGCCAGCCGGGGCATCTCGCACCCGACCCGTGAGCGGTGCCCCCCGTGGCTCCGGCCCACTTGCTGCTGATGGAGCGGCCAAGACGGGGCCTGGGTCCCTTGAGTGCCCCCAGCTGCCTGCCGTCGACCAGCGAGGCCCGGCCCGCCGAGCGCCGCCCTTCTCCCAGCGCCGCCCCCGCGGCCCTGCCGCCAGGCCCTGCTGCCTGGTCCTGGGCCCCAGGCCCGGGGCTGTGCACCTCTGGTGCGGGGGCGGGGGGGGCGTCCTCGGGTCTTCAAAGCAGGGGAGCCACTCCCCGCCCCCGCCCAGGCTCCCAGCAGCCTCCCCTTGCTCCCCTTGCTCCCCTCTCACAGCTGCCCTTTGGGGCCCTCTTACCCTGGACCCCGTGGACCCTCCCACTGTGCCCGGTGGCCAACGACCTTTCCAAGGGCACCAGCCGACAGGCTGCCCTGGACAGGACGGCGGACCCTCCAGCTCCACAGGGGGCGGGCGAGCCTCTGGCTGGAGCTCAGCCCCAACGCCGTGTCCCAGGGCTGCCCGCCTGCTGCCCAGCCCTCTCCGCCAGCATCCCGTGACCCAGGTGGCAGCCAGCCATCCCCTCGGGGCTTGGGGCAGCCACAGCCTCGCCCACAGCACAGCGGTCTCCCCGTTTCTGCCTGGTGGCCTCAGATTTCCCCAGAACCCCTGCACGGGGACACCAGCCCACGGCCACGTGCTGAGGCCTGTGGCTGTCCTGCCCTTCGGCCCATCCCGCCAGCCAGCCCCTCCCTGCAGGCTGCTGCCTTCTGGGTCCCTTGCAGCAGGCGCACCCACCACAGGGCCAGGGTGTGGGGTCCACCCCTGTGCTGCTGTTAGCCGGGTGTGTGGCCGTGGTGCTGCTTCACCCGGGGGCCCCAGTGAGAGCCTGCACCTGTTCCAGGCCCGCCCAGAGGCGGCAGGAGTCGGGGACGCAAGGTCTGGATGTCCTGCCCAGCGAGGGCCTGGCCCTCAGCCTCCGACGCAGCCTCCCAGGTGTCAGCTGGGCTCAGAGGTAATGACCCGAGGCGATGGAGGGGCAGAGCCAACGTGAGCCCAAGCCAGAGCTCTCCGCCTGCCCGGGCAGCTGGGGCCGCGGCCACAGGGAGCCCGGGGCCTGTTGCTTGGTCCCAGTGCGCTGACCCATCACCGCCTGTGATGGGGGCTCCCGTGTTCCGGGGCGCTGACCCATGACCGCCTATGATGGGGGCTCCCGTGTTCCGGGGCGCTGACCCCGTGACCCCCAGTGATGGGGGCTCCCGTGTTCCGGGGCGCTGACCCCGTGACCCCCTGTGATGGGGGCTCCCGTGTTCCGGGGCGCTGACCCCGTGACCCCCCTGTGATGGGGGCTCCCGTGTTCCGGGGCGCTGACCCCGTGACCCCCTGTGATGGGGGCTCCCGTGTTCCGGGGCGCTGACCCTGTGACCCCCCTGTGATGGGGGCTCCCGTGTTCCGGGGCGCTGACCCCGTGACCCCCTGTGATGGGGGCTCCCGTGTTCCGGGGCGCTGACCCCGTGACCCCCTGTGATGGGGGCTCCCGTGTTCCGGGGGCGCTGACCCCGTGACCCCCAGTGATGGGGGCTCCCGTGTTCCGGGGCGCTGACCCCGTGACCCCCAGTGATGGGGGCTCCCGTGTTCCGGGGCGCTGACCCCGTGACCCCCTGTGATGGGGGCTCCCGTGTTCCGGGACGCTGACCCCATGACCCCCTGTGATGGGGGCTCCCGTGTTCCGGGGCGCTGACCCCGTGACCCCCAGTGATGGGGGCTCCCGTGTTCCGGGGCGCTGACCCCGTGACCCCCAGTGATGGGGGCTCCCGTGTTCCGGGGCGCTGACCCCGTGACCCCCTGTGATGGGGGCTCCCGTGTTCCGGGGCGCTGACCCCGTGACCCCCTGTGATGGGGGCTCCCGTGTTCCGGGGCGCTGACCGTGACCCCTGTGAGGGGCTCCCGTGTTCCGGGGCGCTGACCCGTGACCCCCTGTGATGGGGGCTCCCGTGTTCCGGGGCGCTGACCCGTGACCCCCTGTGATGGGGGCTCCCGTGTTCCGGGGCGCTGACCCGTGACCCCCTGTGATGGGGGCTCCTGTGTCCCCACACAGGGCACCTCGTCTTTTGTCGCCCGTTGTCGCCTGCAGCAGGCCAGCGCCGGCGTCGTGTGTCTGTGCCGAGGACCCTGGGGATCAGAAGCGTGAGCCCTGCCCCTGAACTGGCTCGTGCTGTGGGCGGTGGCAGGACCGCGCTGCCGTGGGGCCTGGCGTTGGGATTTGGGAAGCGGCGAGGCGGGCAGGAGAGCGCTGACATCGGGTCGGGGGGGCGGGGTGGCCCTTGCAGTGGCCGTGGCTGGCCTCCCCGAGGGCTGCCAGGCTGGGGCGCTGTGGGCAGAGCCGTCATCCCTGGGCCGGCCACCGTGGCCAGGACAGGGCCTGGTTAGGGCGCTGCGTGCGGTCTCCCGGAAGGCTGCACGGCTCTCCTGGGACCCCCCACGGAGCTGGGCTGAGTCCGAGCCCTGAGCAGCCTGGGCTGGGCACCGTGGGCAGGCTGTCAGGGGCTGTGGCCTCAGAACGTGTCATCGCCCCAAACTGCCATGCGTCTGCGGCCTCAAGGACGGCAGCCTTCCGGCTCCGGCCCTTTCCCGCGGCCCCGCATTCCCACGCACCGCCCCTGTGGGGGCTCGGCCAGCCGCAGATCCGGCTCTGCGCCCAGCACAAAGGGCGGCTCTGTGGGAGCGGGGGCCCCGGGCCGCCCTTTCATCGGGGCCGCTAACCTTTTGGCAGCCACCAGCGGGCTGCATTCTGTTCTGCTGAGTGGAGGACAATGCCCGGCCGGCCCTTTGAATGGACGCTGCCACCAACAGCGCCCCAGTCACTCTGGGAACCTCGGGGCGCATTGTCTGTAGGCGGTGGACACAGGGACCAGCCTGCCTCGCCTGCTTCGTCTCCCAGGAAGCTCTGTGGGGCCGCGTTCCTGCCAGCTGGTGGCGTCAGACCGGGAAGGCAGTCGCCGGCCTGCGGGCCCCGCCTCAACAGCGGTTGGGACCCAGTGTTGACACTGAGTGGTGCCCAGGGCTACATTTGCCACATTTACTTTCCTGTAAATCTAACGTCATTCCGAAAGAAAAAGCTTATTTAAAAAAATGGAAAGACAGCTCTTTTTCTCTCAAGTCTATAAACTCTTCAGAAGTGGCCAATCTCCCAGCAGCGCCGGGCGTGCCCCCAGCCCTGGGCCCCCGGCCTCGTGCGCAGGCGTGGCCACAGCGCCCCTCCCCCAGGCTGGGCACGAGGGGGAGGCGCGGGGGGGGGGGCTTCCTGATGCTGGAGACACGGAAGACGGGTTTTCAGGGATAAAGAGCAGCGGGGGGACTCCTCTGGGGGGTTTACTACAAATAACGTTTATGTTTTTGTGTGCAATTTAATTTTTGAATTTTTTAGTTTTAATCTCTTGTAAAACTTTTAAAAAGAAGACAAACCGCGCAGTGACGCTCGGGGCACACGGCCCCGGGGTGGTGGGGCCTCTGTGGGTGGGCCCGGGGACACTGGGAGGGCCTCCGCGCAGAGCCCGGCACCTCGACGCCGGAGGTGGGGACCTGTGGGCGTGTCCCAGACACACGGCCGAGCTGGCGGGAGCACTCGGGGAACCAAACTGGCGGCAGGGGCCCCGGCGCGGTGTCCTTCCTGGGGCCGAGGCTCCCTCACACCTCCGGGAGTGGAGGGCCGTGAAATGAGGTTTCTTCCACAAGTGACAGGGCTCTTCTGTCTCCCCTTTGAGATGTGGCCTGGCCTAGTTCAACAGAAACATTTTTACATTACAACTGTGAAATCTTGGCACAAAGCGCCCCTTTGTCCCCCCATTATTTTCTCACAAATACAGTCCATTGTCACAGCGCTGAAGTTAATTTGATCAACATTGGGACATTTAACTTTTATGTCCAGTCAAAAGAGTTGTTTCATGCTCATTTCGGGCATTCAGAGGAGATGATGGCCAGAAAAATAATGGTGCGGCGAACAATCCAGGGCAATTAGTTTCCCAGGGAGCGGCGGTGTGATGGCGGCCGCCCACAGGCTGCCCGCGGCCCCTTTGTCATGCCGGGCCGGTCATCCGTCAGCTGTCAGCCTGCTCAAAGGCCCGCGACCCGAATGTGCCTCTCCAGGCCGTTCCCAGAGCTCGCGGCCGCTTGCGAGCAGAAGAAAGGCGGCCGGTCCCCAGGCAGGGCCGGCTCTGCAGACCGGCCTGGGTGCTCTCCCGCCTCCTGCGTCCTGGGCCGTCCGCTCGGGGCCCTCAGCCCAAAGCCCGGGCGTCTGGCGTCACGTCTGTTTGGAGCCCAGGCTGCACAGGCTCGCGCCCCCCGCCCCCACGCCCGCATTTGCAGGGGGTCGGGCAGGATCGCGCCCCATTAGGACCTGTGGAGTCCGGCTGCAGCTCCAGCAGTGAGCTCGTTGTCCCTCGCACCTCAGGGCTGAGGGCACCTGTGCCGGGCCCTCCGCTGAGAGCTCGCCCGCACGTCCAGGAGGTGGAGAAGGTGCGGTGATGGCCACGCGCCTCCGCTCGGCTCTGCCCGGGTTACGGCGCTCCGCCTGTCTCGGGGTCCTCTGCTGGGAAGTGAAGTGTGGATGCCATGACGCCCCTGTGGTCTCTGTCGTGAGCCCTTGTCCTGCCCGCCCCTCCCCGCCTCGACGTGCCTGCCATCCCTGGGCCCGGGGACCGCTCTTGGGGCTTGCTGTCCTGAGCAGACGCACGGGCTCTG